GGGGGCATGGATCTTGGCTGGGGCCCTGAAACTCAGCTTCTAGACAGAGACTGGGATTCTCCCAGGGGCAGCTAGAGCACCTTAGGGTGAAGCCTGAATGCCATAAGCACAGTTTAGGTCTTTTAGCATGAGATAGCCTGTTGCAGAGGAAGCTCAGGCATTCTAAAGCTTAAGGTGAAACCAAAGTGTTACAGATCTTGGTCAAGCTGCAGTGCGGAGCATGGCAGAGGTGCCAGCCAAGGCCCACACCTGGTCAGCTTGCAGCCAAGACACAGGCATGGTGAGGTGTAGGGCCAGCAAGGCCCAGGCCCAGTGAGCTGGACGGCTGGACTGGTGAGACTCAGATGGGAATGAATGATAACTCTTAGGTGGTCTTGAAGTGAGAAATGGAGAACCTGCATACCTTTATTCATGTGAAATCAAAGGCAATAAAACCCTTGGCAGTGGGAGGGATTTTGAGGGTGAATGTGTTTGGTTCACTAGGGTCAGGGAGTCATTGGTATTTAAATGGTCCTATCACAAGAAGGAAAATACAGTACTTGATTATCCTAGGTGGGGGGGGGGGAAGAGGGGATCTCCAAGTAGAGCTGAAGGTCACTGTGGGACTAAGATCCTTAGCAGGGTGGGGCATTTCTAGGAATTTCTAGATGCTTGCTAGATCAGTATCCTTACCAGGGAGAGGGTGTGGCCTGTATTCTGCCCTGAGGGCTATGTGGCCTCCTTACAAGACCTGGAATCACTGAGATCAGGGGAGATGTTTCAGAACTCCACTGAGCAAAAGGCATCTACCATCGTAGACCAAGCGTAAGTGATTGGCTATCTGGAGATGACTGACTTCAGCCTTATCCAGCAGAACCCCATGTGTGTGTGTGTGTGTATGCATGCATATGGGTGCATATATGTGTGAGCACATGTGTGTACATGTGTGTGTCAATAAATAGCATCAGACAGCAGAGTTTCAGGGAGCTCAAGGTATCTCAAGTTCACCTTTAGTACCATATGGCACTGGGATGGCAAACAGCATTTCACATCTCAGAGTCAAGAATTTGATCACATACAATGGGCAAAATGTCGAGAGCCAGTTGCTGCACTACAGCTCCCCCCCTCCCTTGGTGCCAGTCCATAGCTGGTCTTCCTGGTGTGATCCTGGCTAGGTGGGGAGCAAAACATGCACATCCAGTTATCAGGGGAAGTCTCCAATCCAGTCTAGCCACCAACCATTAGCCACATGGCAAACTACTAAATTCTTCCACCGGGGTGGGTAAGATGGACATGAAGAGGAATCTCTGACAAGAATAGCAGGGAGCCGCAGAGCTCCTATTGGCTTCTGGAATGTTGGATGTCAAGAATGAAGGATCCGCAGAAAGCAAGGCATTTTGGGAACCCGGGCAGGAGAAAGGGACTAACAATTCTCCACAGGAAAACACCTCAGACAAACTTAGCTGTATCACGTTCTTGATTTTGCATGGCAGGTTTAATTAAATAGACTTGCCATCTTCTGTGACAAAGGAAATGGTATTGAAAATGTTAGTTAGGCCAGAGGACACTCGCATCATTAAGAACCAGGCAGTGGGCCACCTGAAATGTGTAGGTTACAGTGCAGCAATTTAGATGCCGGTAAGTGAATGGCGAGGCATCAGGCATTTCTGTGGCTGCCTCTGCCTTCTACTCGGTTGTAGTGTACATCTTCACACTATTCTCATTAAAAAAAGTTGGGTCTCCACAAGGAATTTCTCCAACACGATGTTCCTGCAAATGAATACTTGGCCTCTCCATGAGTACTATATTGGGCACAGAACACGTGTTCTGCCCATATTGCAAGGTCCTAGTGATTTCTTCTTTCAAGATCTCTCCCAGGGGCAGAAATTCTTAACTGCCTTCTTAACTGTAGACTTGAGCTCCCCAGCATCTACTATTCTGCCCAGTTCATGAACCCCAAAAGACCAGGGCTCTTTAATAAACAGACTGCACTGTAAATACTTGAGGTTCTTTTTATTATAAATCATTGCAAGCTGCAGCTTGGGCCCACACCCCCCACTGCCAAAGAGGTGAGAGCCAAGAGCCCCATGCTCAGGTTAGTTGGGTGATTTAAAGATTCTGGTTCCTCCCAGCATGCCCAAGGCAGGGGCAATTTCTGCCTGGCAAGCATCTATTGGTCAAAATGCTACATTTTGAATTGATTGGCTATAGGAAGGTCCCCGACCATTAATGATCTGGTGTCCCTCCCTAGGGGGATGGGCCAGTTTCCTAGCAACTGTATCTCTAGTGGGTGGGGAAAGAATGCAGTAAGGCGGGTTCTTCCCCTCAGGGCATTCCTGGACTTCTCCACCCAGCTAGTTCAGGCCTTAAATATTAATAGCTGATTTTTAATCTTTTGGTCTCTCACAATGAATGGACCAGAATGAGTGGCAGGTGTTCAGTGGCTAGCGTTAGTGGACAGCTTGCTAAGGACAGCAGTGGTGTGCTGTGTTTAACAGACTTTCTCCAAAGGATTTCAGCTGATGACAAGAATCAGTGGTACTTTAGCTTCGAAACCTGTGAGAAGCTTGTACAAGCACACAATAAGACAAGTCATAGATAAGCAGAGATAAGAGTAAGTAGGGGCTGTAGAACTGGGGGGAATATAACAGGATGGGAGAGGATGTCAGCAGCAGATGGAGAGCTGTCTGTCTTGGCAGAGGAAAACTCATTTAATGCAATGACTGCAGCTATGATGTTCAGCTAAGAAGTCATGTATGATGCTCATGTCCCTCTAATCACACCCTTGTCCCCTCCCTTATCATTTAGGAGAAAGGGATAGCAAGTGTCTAAACTCCTGATGCACAAGCACAAGCCTCAATTATATATATATATAATTATATATATATAATTATATATATATAATGTTTCATATATATATATATGAAACATATATATATGTTTCTTTATCTTCAGTTGTTTCTTAAGTTCTCTTGGTCATTCCTCCCCCTTTTTTTGTGCATTCCCTGAAAATGACTTTGTTCCTCATGTCCCTTACAAGCAGATATTCAAAACACAGGACATAGAGGTAATGAGGACAATGAAAGGGTAGCTCACAGTGAGCATTAGTCAAACCAACCTTCTGGCCACTCAGGGTCTTCTGGACTGGGGCTGGCACAAACTGCCTTTGACTTTTTAATCCATTTTTGTTTGTAAATGAAGAAATGAAATTTTAGCTTAAATATTGGGTCACAGAATTTCGGATCCTCCTGCCTTTACTCCTGCCCCGCATATGAAGGACTACAAGTGGGCACTACCACACCTGGCTTCTTTCACAAGTCTTCAAAACCCTTTTCTTGCTCTCCATTCTGTCTTTTGTTTCCTTCCAGCTCCAGTTGGGCTGTTGTTGCTTGACCAGCTTCCCTCAGGCAGGTGAAGGTCAGATTGGAAGAACATCAGGATAATGACAAGCATGGAGCAGTCTTCTGTTTTAGTTTTTCTGTTTCCATAGCTTAGTCTAGCCCCTCAGGAATACACCATGACTGACATTTGCTAGATGCTTGCATTGCACCAGGACCCACAGAGTTCTGAATAGATGTTACATCACTCTGTCCCACAGAAATCTTCTTTACTGGGTGTCTCCAGCCATTTTACAGATGTGCAAGTGAGCTTTGAAAGGTCAAGTGTCTTGCACAAGATTCATGACTGTATGGCACGGGAGGAATTGAACAGAGCCCCAATGTGTCTTACAACATGTTTTCAGGGCTGACCGCTTGATATTGGGTAGACAATTGGTGTGTTCTTCCGGGGTAAGTCTTTTTCTCCCACTGTTAGCATTCTTTAGCTGCTGTAATTCTTTGCGTAGCGTTGAGCCTTGTGGACTTTCGGTTATCTGTCTTAGCATGTGTGCTGTGGACCTTATTCAGCTCATGTTTAGGCAGGCAGGTGGGTAAGGTTTTCTGAGTGTAGTTCCTGACTTTATCAGACCAGAAACATACATGTAAATAACATAATACAGGCTGAGCTGGTCATATTTAGGAATATGTATGTATATACATACATGTATGTAATAATTAATGAATGAAGAGGCCGTGAATTTGAAAGAGAGAAAGGAAGGGTATATGGGAGGGTTTGGAGGGAGGAACAGAAAGGGGGGAAAAGGATGTAATTATATTAGACTCTCAAAAAGTTAAAACAGCCGTAATACTACTACTGATGAAAGTTTTTCTAAATAGCTGCCCCCTGCTATCTCTTTCTTTTCTTCTTTCTTTTTTCTTTCTTTTCTTCCTTCCTTCCTTCCTTCCTTCCTTCCTTCCTTCCTTCCTTCCTTCCTTCCTTCCTTCCTTCCTTCCTTTTCTGAGACAGGGTTTTCCTGTGTAGCCTAGGCTGTCTTGGAACTTTCTCTGTAGACCTGCCTGGCTGGCCTCAAACTCAGATCTACCTGCCTCTGCCTCCGAAGTGTTAGGGTTAAAGGTGTGCACCACACTGTCCACCTTTCTTCTTTTTTTTTATTATTTTCTTGAGAATTTCTTATATGAGTACTGTATTTACAACACTTCCATCTCCTTCCTTTTCCTTCCATTCCTCCCATGTCCCTCCACCCTTGTTCTCAACTGCATGACCTCTTTACCTATGATTATTATTGTTACATTTATATATGGATATATATATATATATAGTATATATACATATATATGTGTGTATATATATATATATATATATAGATACATATATACATATAATATGACCCCTACTGATTTTTTTTTTATTGTGCTCTAGTGTACAAGTATTTAGGGTTGAACACTTGGGGTGTGTGTATGTCCCTTCCTAACAGATTTTCCAGAGGACTTCGCTGGCCAGGGCTGTCTTGTGACCATCTCTCACAGTTAGGGATTCTGGAATAGTGAGAACATCAAGGAGGGTACATCAGAGGGCAAAACAATGGAGGGAGACACGGAGGCTTGCGCTGCAAGGCCCTTCTGGCAGCATTTTGACCTCTGGGACTGAACTTCTTCTCTCCTCCTTTCCATGCTTTTGGCTAGGTGACAAGCCTGGGGACGAGCTGGAGGAGCTGAAGCTGCAGAATGCCAGCAAGCGGATCGTGCAGAAGGCCATCCTGCAGGCTGTGCGGCAAGTCTCCCAGGAGAGCCTGCGGACAGATGGTGGACCCAGCGACGGCAGGACCCGGGGCCAGCGGGGAGGGCGCGAGCTGACCAAGAAGCATGAAAAGAAGTAATGGGTACTGGGTCTGGCTCTTCTCACATGCTTGGTCTCTGCCTTTCCTGTTAGCGTAGGAAGTAAGCAAATCAAAGTGTCATTGATGCCTAGCAGTAGGATGAGTTCCCGCCAGCCTTTGCGACAAGCTGTGGTTCGCGCACCTGCATTAGGGACTCTTCATGTTTCTGTGGAGCCTCTGGAAGCAGCTGAGCCAGACATGACACTCCGCAAAAAGTGAATTTGTAACAAACCTATTTTCCAAGTTCTTATAAAAAAAAAAAAAAGAACCCTACATCTTGTTTATTTATACATTGTTTCTATAAATTCAACTGGCAGTTTTTATTTCCCTTTGGAGTTACCCAATGCAGTTCTGTGTTCTTCATAAATATTTGAAAAGGCACACTAGAAAGATGAAGGAATGGACTTTCACCCTGTTCAAACACAGACTTGCAGACTGTTACGGTTAGAGTATAGGTTCAAGGTTAAAATGAGCAGAGCGGATTCCAAGACCCAGCCCTGGTCTAGACCTTATGTTTATATTACTTCAAGAAAGAGAGGTGTTTACACCTTGTGAAAACTCAGTATTTTTTTAATGTCTTCGAGTTGTTCACAGTTGGCGTATACCTTCTGTAGAGATGTGGCGGGGAGAGCACACATATCATTTCTTGACTAGAGATTAAGTTTGATGACTGCCTCTGTGCAGAAGTCGCTGATGACTCAGTTCTTTGGCATTCTAGGGGAAGGGCACATACCCCTCATCCCTAAGCTGCTCACATCCTGGATTTATCTACTCTTGAGGCAGAAGGGGGCAGTGTCCTTGGCAGGGAGTCGGCAGTGTCATCACCTAGCTCTGCATTTTTCACTAGACCCTTACTGTAGGAACGTTCCTTTTCCCATGAAGGAATTTAACATGGCTTAAAAAAAAAAAACATTATAAAAACTATACCGCCATGACTACATGGAAAACTTCTCTTTTTGGTTTTCTGTAGGCTGAAAGCATTTGGAGAGACCTGTCTTCACACAGCCATCTCCATTCACCCCCATAGCTTCCTGCTGCTCCCGTTTGGACAATAGGTGTCTCTCTGGAGTCTTTCAGAGTCTATTGACTGTGCTTGACAGAACCCACTGAGTTGGTGCTCCTGGGGACAGAGAAAGCATTGATCCTTGGTTAGAAACCTCCAGGCTGCCAAGTGCCCGTGCCTACATGGACATGTAGTCTGAAAGCAAAGTATTACTACCATAGAAGTGTGGCTAGTGTTCAGACACCACCAACATTTCAACAACAGATGGGCAAAACTCTCCATTTTCACCCTATTAGACTGTATCTGCAGATGCATATATGGAACAAATTAATTTAGAGAGAGAGTTCATGAGGGAAAATGGGTGTGGAAGTTTAGATACTGTTTATTCATTTCTTTTTAGCAGAACTCATGGCAATTAAGGAATAAAACTAAAATCCCATGGATGCAATTGCATAGCATGGGCAGTGAGTGAGAACAAGTGTAGCCGGGGAAATTATTCAGATGCGCCCCCAAATGAAAAACAAACCCCAAATGCTTGTAGTCTGAAGGTGACCTGCCACTGTGTCTCTGCTAGAACATCTGTCTATAACCAATCTTGTTTTTCTGTCAAATGGCAGAAATCTGTCATCTTTCTTCTCTGGTGTGTATGTACTAATAAACTAGGGATCTGGGAAATGTTATTAATTTCTGTATCTAAACACTATTTATAAATAAACTATATCTGCCTTTGAAATATGTAGCCATGTAAAGCAGTTTTCTATGAAATCTTCGTCAGCTTATATTATATGTTATTCTTATGTGCATATGGCACCCGAGGCTTTCAGGATGTGTCTTCAAACGCTTTCATCTTGTGGCCAGAGGAGGTAATTTTTTAATGTCACATGGCCTTGACTAAGAATAATTTTGTCGATGAAAAAGAAGTGTACTATAAAATGGAAAGCCAAGGTAAGGAGGTCTGGCTGGTCAAGTGTCCATTACGGTTTTCCTGGGATGGAAAGTCTGGAGCAAGGATTAGTGACACTGAGCTCTGAGAGTACAGAAAGAAGTAGAGTAGCCAGAGCCTTCAGGGTTACACATGATAGGAACGGACCCATGGAAGACCAGTCAGATGAACAAATGAGGCCGCTATATTCTTAATTCACCCCCAGTACAATGATAAAACTCTTGGGTTTCGTATGGGGTCTGCAGGACTCCATGTCACATAAACTTAGAGTGAGCTTCCTTTTGGTTATTATCAAGCCAGTACTCAGCTCTCACTCTTTAAAGCTGTGGGAACATTTATTTGATGTCTTTTGTATCTTTGGTTTTCTGCAAGGTTAAGTACACAAGAATTGCCCAGCCCTGTGTGTCCTGCTGTCCATCCTGGCTTGCCTATCTCCAGGACAGAACTAAAGAAAGAAATCCTTCCACAAAGTGTCTTTGCTTTCCCGTGAACATCTCTTCAGTAAAAACATTTTTGCAAATAGACACAAACAACTTGCTGGCTACCGGAGCCTCATTCTCCTCGAACCCCACTCCCCCTTCTTTAAAGTATTCAGTTGCTTAGCCTTTTCATTATGGGATTTTAGGCTGCAAATAAGCGAAATAAATGGTTTTAAATCATTGAAATTGTGCTATTCAAGAATGGGAGCCTGGGTATTTTTCAAGGCAGGTTTATGACCTCTGTGATAAAATAATGCATAAGATACATCCACCGGAATAGGTATTATAGAAAATAAAACCTCTGACAAAGGATAGCTCACTTAACACATTAGTGCCCACAGAGATGTAAAGAGCTGGTATTTGAGCAAATTCCTCTCCTAAGGGAACTTGGCAATAGTAACAATGTCTTCTCTTTTGAGTTGGCAACATTTTCTAAAATGTACGACCACCTGTTACTTTGCTTACGTCACTGCCACAGCCTCACAATAAGAGCAGGCAGAGAAAGATTTTACTTGGTCTGAAGGGGGATTAATATCACAGGTGGAAAAAAATATAGGTGAGTCCTACTGGAGGAGTTCAGAAAGAGACCACTGAGCTGAAACTGAAAATTTCAATCAATCAAAACAAAGTTTAGGAATATCTATGTTAAAATGGAAGATAATATGGCTTTACAGAGTACTTTCTTGAATAAATTAAAACCAAGATAGCAAAGGGCCAGAAAAACTATTTGCCAGAAGAAGCTCAATGTCATCAGCCCCAAACAAAGGCAGCTGAATTAGTCAGCCTTATGTAACTGTAATGAAATACCGGAGTCAACTAAGTTATAAGGACAAAAAGTTGATTTATCTTATTGTTTTGGAAGTACCAGTTCGAGACTGGGTATCTTTGGGATCGTGCTGACGGTGGCACACTGCAACAGGAGCACGCCAATGGCGCTGTGGTCTTGGAGCAGAGGCTCACGGGCACTCTGAGGTGCCGCAATCCCATTTAAGAGCTTGCTCCTGATTGAAGTGGAAATTTCTGAGTTTTGTAAAGTGATGTTTTGCTGCAAGCTGGGCACATGATGTTTTGCCCAGGTTGGCTTGTGAGAGGGCATGTGATATTTTGCTGTGAGCTCTCCTGTGTGAGGGGCGTGGCTTTGGCCAGTTGAGAACATTTGTGGACTCTGAGGAGAGGACATAGATAGAGGCCCACACAGAGTGAGTCATCGAGTTTTAGATTGCAGTGAGCTTTGTGCTTCAACATTTGACTTCGCAGAGAGAAACCTTCCAGAGAGCTTCTCTGGGCAATCCCAGTGAGTCTTATGGCTTCTGCTGACTTCTTGTTGCTGCTTGGTGTTGGCCTTTAGACTGGATTGCTGGTATCCTGACAACTGAGTCTGGTAATCCCCTTATGACTCATTGACCCTAATCAGCAGGAAGTAAATAAAAGAGTTCTACAGCCCTTTTCCCTACTAATCTTCTACCTAAAGTTTCTGGGGGTTGGAAGAAAGGTAAAGGTGCTTAAGAGCCCTAAATTAGGTAGGTTTGCTGAAAAAATCTAAGCCTACACCTGATGATCCAAATGCTTCCCACAAGGCTGTTCATCCTAAAGGCTCTCCCACCTCTGAAAACATCATCCTGAGGACCAAACCTTAACACCTGAGCCTTCTTAGATGCTCATTGGAACTATCTACTAGTAACTGTGGAAACAGAAAACTCTAGGGAGAAAAGTAGAAGATCCTACCAGAGGACAGGAAGCGCATCCATTTTTCTGCCATCTGCCATTTGGTTTTTACACAGTATTGCAAGCCTGGAGTGAGGACACTGGGGTTCTTAGCCCTATGTCTTCTTGCTACAGTGCAGTAGATGAGATCATTCGGGAAGAAATATGTGAAGCAGAAGAGTGCTTTCACACAAAAAGCAGAACACTCACTGAGCAAAAAGGGAAAATTAATGAAAAGAGAAGGAAAGAGGCATATTTCTAGAATATATAGTAGACTAGAAGAGTATATGCGAACTGCTCAATAGCACTACTACCAGAATCTAGAAAACCTTCTTGGACTTTGTGGGCTGAGAAGGCATGATCTCCAAAGGCCAATTTCTGGACAGACATGAGGTTTCTTCAGAGTGATGCCCAATGCCTCAACACAAGAGAACAGGCCACCACAGAGCTGTGGAGGAATGACAGGGGAGGTGAGCACATTGTTTGCAACCAGGATGTTACTTTACAGTAAAAGGAAGCACAAAAAGTCTTAGTGGTCACCTGTGCAAACAAATTCCCCACCACGAGCTTGAACCAGCATAAGACAAATGAAAATAAATGTGTAAGGCATGGAGAGGTCACATCAAAAGGACAGGTAATGAGCAGTGCTCTTACTTAAATATAAAGCGGATGGAAGAAAATCATGACAATTATGACACAAAGGAGCAATGTGTCTCAATGGCATGGGAGTATTACTAACAAAACTCAGGACATGATAAGGGAGATGACATCATGCAAATGACTTCATCTGCTAAAGAAAGGATTTATATGGCTTCAAATGGAATGACCTAGTTCATAAGTCCTAAGAGTTCCAACATTTTATTAGATTTTATAATTCCTACTTAAGCTTATAGCAATGCATCAGAAAATAATAGAATAGGAAAGGGGTAGGCAAATAGAAGCAATTCTTTTAGCTTCCACTTCTTTTTACCTTTCCAATAAGTTCAGAGGAAATAAAATATAATATATGCAATCTTTATTCATGGTTTTGCCAGGGGAGAAATCCCTTGATGAGCAGGAAGAATTTTCCTGCATACGAAGGCCAAGGGTAACTTTTGCGGAGGAAAAGAATTATTTTCAGCATTAGAATTAGGCCAAAGTTTGTCCACAGTGTATGTAAAGAGGGTGTAGTCTATGCCTTCAGCTGAATTCTTACTTCACTGAATAAACACCCTGATCACACAACTGGTGCTCGTGTTTAAAGAGAGACTTCCTTGCACACTCTCAATGAGTGCTTCACTAATTGAGTTATTTGTGTTGCCATCCATGCATATGTTCTCACATTTGCCGTTTCCCTATGCACAGATGGTATCCTGCTGCAAAGGCTGTCAATCTTTTTCCCAGGGGCTTTTTCTACCTATAGCTGTGTTCTCAGCCTACGTAAGGGGTCAGCTGGAAATAGGAGAGAGATAAAGCCACAAGAGAAACCCCAGGCATGGATGATGGGAGCTGGGGCATAAACACTGCAGCTTTCTTACCCCTCAGGTGGACCAACTCAGAACATCATCTCCCAGCCTCCAGCCATTGTCTTCTGATGGAGGACAGGTGTCCACAACACTTTATCTCTCCTCAGAAAACTGAGACTAGATTTACCTCAAGACCCAGCTATACCACTCCTGGGCATATACCCAAAAGATGCTCCACCATACAACAATGACACTTGCTCAACTATGTTCATAGGAGCTTTGTTCATAATAGCCAGAATCTGAAGAATGGATAAAGAAATTGCGTGATAGATACAATGGAATAATACCCAGCTATTAAAAACAAGGAAATCATGAAATTTGCAGGCAAATGGACGGAACTAGAAAATATCATCATGAGTGAGGTAACCCAGACCAAGAAAGACACACATAGTATGTCCTCACTTGTAAGAGATTTTAGCCATACAATACAGAATAAACATACAATTCACAGACCCAAAGAAGATAAGTAACAAGGAGGACCCAAGGGAGGGTGCTTAAATCTCACTGAGAAAGGGAAATAGAATAGACAGTGGAAGTGGTTAAAGAAAAAGAATAAGATAGGAGAGGGAGCACAGAGAGAAATGACAGTGGAGACCAGACCTAAGGAGGCAGGGTGGGAGGATGGAGGGCCTACAGTGAGAAGAGAAACCATGGGCAGAGGCATCTCTGTGACTAGGTGGAAACCTAAGACAGGGTAGGCTTCTGGAAAGGTGTGAGGGTGACTCTAGCCGAGACTCCTAGTACAGGGAGGAGAACACTAATCCATCCACAAACATTTCAGTGAAAAATTTACCCTGCCTACAAGATGTGCAGAGATAAAGATAGAGCAGAGACTGAGGGAATGTCCAACCAACGTCTGGCCCCAACCTGAGACCCCCCACAGTGAAGAAAGCCAACCCCTGACACTATGAATGACACTCTGCTATGCCCACAGACAGAAGCCTAGCATAGCTGTCCTCTGAGAGGCTCCACCCAGCAAGCAGATCTAAATAGATGCTGAGACTTACAGCCACACTTTGGGCAATGCACAGGGAGTCTTGTGGAAAAGTTGGAGGAAGGATACAAGGACCTGGAAGTAACAGGAGCTCC